TCTAAAATTTCCAGACCCAAATGTCTGTGCTCTGCAGAACAGAATATAGATGCTGGCAAAGTAAACACCTCTCTCATCATATTCAGCCGTCCATGCAACATTCTTCTGTTTGCCACTGTTATTTGAATTCCATTTTGTTTTATGGAGAAGGTGGTGAAGGTTATGATATTGTTTTGTCTAAACTTCACGGTCCTATTGTGGTCTATTTTTATTATTTTAATGCAGTATTTTTTTCAAACCATGACTACTGCAGATTAGTTTTTAGCTCTTTTGGTTACACCTAACCATGCGCTGTAAATCTGGGCTAATTGGTTAAACGGAAACTTTTGACAGTAAGGTCCACAAAATTTCGATTATCTTAGAGGAAACACATAAAGAATAAACTTCTAATGAATAGAAACTAAATAGCTCTTTACTAATTTTGCATCATGAACTATATATTACATCATGACAAGGAGTTATTTGTAAGTTTCGCTATCGCTACATAACCAACGTTAGCATTAACAGCTGTTTACTTACCAGACTCGAAGAAACGTTGTGTGTTCAGCATCAAACTTCATTCCTTTGCTCGCCAAGAGCCGTCTCCTGTGGTAGAAAGCAACACAGATGTTAACTCTTGTGTCTATCACATCTTTTCTTTTACTGAAGTTAGCACGCTAACCAGCTAATCTAGCGCCTCGTCTCTCTCTGATAGCGCCTCATTGCTACCTCCAATCTGCACTGAAGATGTATTGCTGATCAGAGGGCATGTTATGACCTCTTGGCTTGTAAAAACAATGATGACCAAAGCTCTTGTCAAGCAACAATCACCACCACCCACTTCCTTGAATGGTTCCCAATTAAATGTAGATGGCCTAGTAAATAGCACATAGCAAACAATCAACATTAAGCAAGTTACTTGAAAAATGTGCTTCAGAGGTAAGTACCGACCAACAGCAGCTAGCTTAACGTTGGTGCCGCTGGCTGCACACAGCACTCCAGAGGTTCCATCATCATAGAGAAGCTCACTGTGAAGTTCACACACCCTCCAACTCTGAAAAAAACCAACTGATTTCTGAATGCAGGCTTACCAGTGAGAACGTTAGAAAGCCAGCTAAACACAACCAACCCCGTCTCCTGGAAATTATGTCTATCTACGACTAAAATCCTTTTTATATGTAATCCGGAAATGTTACGTATTTGGCAAATTGCAAATATGTTGATAGTGAATGAGACTGTCCTCCTGTAAAAAAACAACCCAATAGGTAATCTGTGCAAGCAGCTTATCATGATCCAACTGTAGCGGCTGCAATAATCATGGCAGAGTATTGAGGTGGATGGAGGGGTCAACAACACACAGGACTTTCACAGAGAAAACCGCTGTTTGTTTCCTGTTTGAAACCGATAATGAACATGGTTTTTCTTAACCATGACTGTTCCACAACCTTAACCACGTGTTTATTATTCTAAGGTTGGCTGATCTTTAAAGAAGTAGTTGTTTTAACCAACCCCACGTTTTTTTCCTAAACTTAATCAAACCATGACCGTTCCACAACTGTAACCGCATTTATTATTGTTACCATGATGGCAGCTGGCACATTCCTATTTGTCGTATCAGTTTATGTACATATAACCAAAACCACAGTATTTCCCTCACCGTAACCAAATTGCTTTTGTTGCCTAAGCCTAACCACACACGTGACTCTGGATGCAAACTCTTGTCTGTGGTGTGATCCACATTCATTCAAAAAAATATGTTTTTGAACATACTCCATCCAGTAATTATATTTCCTACAAACTGGGATTAATTACTGAATTCCAAATTGTGATCCCTTACACTACCTGTTACTGAAAAAAAGTAATCATAGTAGAGTAATCCATTGCATCACTACCAATAATAAAATTTAACTTCCTTTTTATATGTAGTTCATGTTAGTTAGGCTGCTAGTTTTGTTTTCATCATCATTGCATCATTAGTCTGTGATTTATTAGCTCAGCAGTAGCAGAGACAGAAGCCTCAAAACAAGATCTTTACTGTCAGTTTCAAAGCACATCTGCATTAATACTCTCATCTAAAGGGACATACTTTATATTCCTTCTTTATTTGCAATGTAAAGCTTGATTGGATTCATGAAAGAATGAAAGGAATGTTACAGGCCTTGTTGTAAATTGTTAGAGTTCCACCTAAACATTATAATGTATGTTAAAGGAGAAACAAAGTTATCCTATTATTCTAATACAAAAGAGAAATAAATAGACTCCCTAATTGTATTCAGCTATTACAATACCACAGTAAGCTAAAACCTCCACTGACATGTTGTGAATTTTAAGATGTTTCGGCATTTATCTGAAGAGCTGCCTCATTTCTAACGACGGGCTGGAAATCCTCAGCATTCGTTCTGGAGGGATATCACAGCTCTATTCATTCATCCATTCATTCATTTACTCACTGTTAACCCTTCTGTTCCCCAGTGACTTTCAGAGGGCATAGCAGTGTTTACAGACAATACACACTCAGCAAGATAATCTTCATTGTGAACCTCTGTGTGAACTGTGTAAGGGCCTTCACACCTATAACAGGATGCCCTTGTGCTTTTTATTTTGTTCCTGTTCCCCCTTTTTAACTCCCTATTTTTCACCATGCTGTCAGTCTCATTCTCCTCATTTAGCAGTCTGCAAGTCCTGTTAAATGATTAGTAAGCCCACAAGTGAATATGTGCAAAGCCTCTTCCACTCCATCGGATTAGTGAGCAGTAGGCTTAAACACACCTTGCTAAAGTCCCTGTCGCACACACACAGACACGTAAAGGTATTCAGCAAAGTGAGCAAATATATTCCAAGAACAACACATTCAAACAATCCAATTCTTAGATAGTGCTGGGAATCGTGCCTTGAAGAATGATGTCCCCACATGCATGCATGCAAACACGTAGGTACACTCATTCAAAAAGAGTGCACGTAGACATTCAGTCACACCCAGGATGAGTCTGAGCCCTTCCTGTCTTCTCAGACATGGCTCATCAGATAGGATTCTGCGTGTAAGGTCCAACCAATAAAAAGCCCAAATATTCTATTAAGAGTAAATCCTCTCCGCTGGTGGAGCTTGTGGAGTCAGATTAGGACTAGACAAACACTGCCAAGCAGTCATGCCCACCCCAGGACCACTGCCAAAAAGAAGCCCCACAGATACTGGTGTGTCACTGTGAGTGCGTGTGTGTAGGTGCATGTGCACAGGCAGCAAAGAACCCCAGTGTGAGCATTAGCAGGCAGGGGGATGAACAAACTAAAGCTCTGATACGTGCTGCTCGGTGTAATGGGAAGGCAGTGTGTCAGTGATCTGAGTGGGTTGCAGCTGCAACACACAACCTTTGTTCTGTGTGCATGTGCTCATGGGTGTGAGAAGGTGTATGTTTTGCCGTGTCTTTGCCCTCCTGCAGTGAAGCAGGTGTACACTTTTGGCTCCAAATCTGTAGCACATAAAATCTTTAACACAAATAAATATTAGTTTGAATTTACTTCACTGTGTAGCAGGATTGTTAGTCGTTTTAGCCACATCACTGTGGAGTCTGTGTTTATATAGTAGCAGTAGCTCTGTAGCTCCTCTGTGTACGGCGAGCACAGACAGCTGCGATGTTTTAGGCAGAACAGACATAGATTTCTATCGCTGACCCTAAGGCTGCTCATTAGAATTCAGCACACCTCTCGCAAATCACCCCCACCCACCCAGCTCCCTCACCCCCCTCCCTATTGCTGCCTGCTTTTTTTTCCTCTCTTGCTGTCTTACACATTGGAAGAGAATGAATGCTTAAAGCAAAGGGGTGAACTGTTGGTCAGCCATCATAACAATGACTATGTGAGCCGCATACACAGCAACTCACACTTACTAACTGACAAAACTTACACACAAAAGACAACCACTGCTGCACAACTGCATGTGTAAACACACATGTCTACACACAAATCTACATTCCCACACACTCGATTAAAGAAAAAAAAGTTATGTTTTTTGATATTAATATTAAATCAAATGACCTGAAGATGAAAGGGGGTCACTGGTACCTGCTGAAATTAGAAAGAATTATCACCTTACTCACCTAACTCCGCCACAGTGAGATTGTGTCAATGTTTTTTTCTGCCCCTGGTGGTAAAAAAAAACATATGTCATATAACAAGCACAAAGAACATATTTAGCCTAAATCACGTACATTCACATACACGCAGACTTATGATTATATGCTCAGATAGAGAACACATTCTGATACATTAATTACTAATGTTTGTTGCATCCATCCTTAAGTAGGCAGTTGTTTGCGTGCACATTTACCCACGTGTGTGTGCTTTTGTGTTGGTGTTATTGTCCCAGGCTAATTGAGCAATTCCACAGTGGGAGCAGCGGTGTTTAAGGTCACGGAATGATGTGCTCTCCTGGAGCAGTTAGAAAGCCCCCACTTTCATAATTACTCTGCTTTTATCTCTGCAGCTGCTAGAACTACTCCCAGATACATGCACATACAAGCACATACTGTCTGCTGGAGCATATGAGAATGAGAATGCTTTCATCTACGCACATGAAGAACCCACTCGCATTCAAAATACTGCTTTTCATTCTTTTTTTCTTTGGAGTTGAAGGAACTGAGGATTTGAAAAGATATCTCTAGGATGACGCATTGAGCCTGTCATCAACTATTGAATTCAGTGATACCTTTGAGATATACAGATGCCAATTCAGATCAGTCAGTAATTGTGCAGTTATGTGTGTAGGTAGTTGTAGTTTATCAGCACCAGCACCATTTATGTCTTAACAATGATTTCATATTACAATATAGAGAATGTGCACTAACTTTGACCTTTTAAGAAATTTAAATACTGATCCAAAAGCCTGTGTCTCTCTATGTGTATTTGTGCATGCCTGCGTGCATGCGTGCGTGTGTGTGTTTGTGCGCATGTGCTTGCATGCTTGATTGCACATGTGAGTTGAACAAACGCCAACACTGGTGGCCCTGTCTGTTTGTCCCATGCAGACGTTCTGTGAGTGTGTACCCAGCTCCTCCCAGCTCAAACATCGCTGGTCAGACTCAGAAACTGCCAGGGAGACCCCGGCCAAGGTAAGGCCCCGTCAGCACAACGTGTACATGTCCACACAGGTAAGTATGCATGCGCGCACACAAAGACACACGCTGTACACAAATTAGCTATATAAAATGAATGTGTCATGCTCTACCGCCTCTGAAGCCCGTGGCAGCGTTTACGCGCCCAAATATCACTTTGACTTTAGAGCGTCATAACTCCGATATAGTTTGAGTTAGAGAAGTGCCGTTATTTCATGTTTAACTAGAAAATTGGCGCTTTTCAACAACCACATGTTTGTCCACGTGAGTCACTTAATTTGTCCGTTGTTCGTTAAAAAGATTTGGACAGTCTTACCGTTTGCCTGGCGCCTAACTGCTCTCTTTCCGTGTGTTTTCCGATAGATTCGCATCCGCCATTTTTGCTAGCGACGTCTAGAGGCACGTCACAGTCACGTCACTGGTTTTGACATTCCTATTAGCTCCAGTGTGGCGTATACCCAAAATAAATAGAGTATTATTGCGAGCTCAAAGTGAGGAGAAATTGGTTTCTGTAGTTTATTGTAGTGACAGAAAACCGACAGAAGGATATGGCCAGTAACATATTAGTACAGCTGAAGCTTTGGAGCTGATTATTCAAGGAGAAAAAAAAAAAAAAAAAAACCCATAAATACTGCTCAAAAGAATGAGCATAACTCATGGACAGAAAAAGATAGAAACTTCAAATCAACTGAAACTTTTAAACATAAGGCAAAACACCACGGTACAAAAAAGTCTTAATGCGGGCCTCAGAGGTTTAAAACCACAAAAAGAAAAGAAACAGAATTTTATTAAAAAATTGTATGAAATTAAATTTCCATGTCGTTTTTGATTACAAAGCAGGTGTAGGTTCTATATTAATACTGTGAAAGTATCAAAGTGCTCAAGCCACAGAGAAATGCACGCAGCCCGTATTCAGAAACTGTGCTTTAAAACAAGCTGTCAGGACTTTCTTAACTTTATGATGTCACAACGAAGCAGTCACAGCTCTCAGCTATGCCCAAAGCCCGGCCCACCTGGACCCACCATCCAACCATGCAGGATTTGGTTTCTCTGAGTGTTTACCGGAAATCTCTCACCGGCGTGTTGTTGCTAGAGCTTCTAAGAGAAGCCTGAGAGAGGAGATGTAAAACAACACTGAGATGTTTTCCTTTTTATGGATATCAAAACTTAAAATAAAATACATGGCAAGTGTAAAATATGGGACTTTTAAAACATATTTTTGTTATGTTAGGGGAGGAACATACTTATTCACCATCTGTAACCCACTACTTCCTAAATCAGAGTAGGATTATCTGGCAAACTGTCAAATTGTATATTGTAGGTTGGCAGAGGTTCCAGCAAATATTAAACAGGACGGAAATGGATAGCTGGTTGGATGGATGGAAATCATTCAAACTGAAAAAAAATGCAGTGTTATGTAAATGAAATCCGTTCATTAAATCCTATAAATGTCCTCTTGTCTATATATTCCACCACCGTCCTTTCAGTCAAAACAGGGGCACGTTATGAATAGGTGACTTGCTCACCTGTGAGAGGATTATGTATCAGTGGCGACGATTTCCATCACAATCCGCTTTCTCGCTGCTTTGGTGACGGCGGCGTGAAGGATTATTGCATATTACACATTACATTTTGCCACTGAGCAGCAGTGATGGCACAACCTCAACTCGAGGACCAAAACACACGAGAAATTAGATGGGATTAGGCCCCACAGATTCTTTGAACTGTGTGGAGTGATCACGGCTGCATCTGGAAAAAGGAGCTTGATTACGTGTCAGAATTTGGGAAGAAGAAGCTGTGCATTGAATACTGATGTAAAAGTGGTATTCAAGCTCCAGGTGAACGAAATGGGAGAGGAATTAGTGAAAATATGTCTTTTCTGAAATTGTGAGTTTGCGCTTGCTATTTATATATGTGCCAATTCAGCATTTAAAGGTGTTTGTGCTTTTCTGTGCATCAGCGTCAACCTGTGTCTTCCTGTATATGCATCCGTTCGTGTCCGCATACAGTATGTGTGTGTTTGTTTGTGTTTGGGAGGGAGGGAGAGAGAGAGACAGATAGAGAGAGACAGCTTGCAGACTCCTGCTGCTTTCCTGCTTATCTAATGAGCAGACAAAGCCTTGCGTCCAAGAACTGTCTGCCAATGCTCTTGCGTGGGAGGACAACATCATTTCCACAGAGAGGAATTCTCTCTCCTTCTCTCCCTCTCCGTTTCTATCTCTCCATCCGAATTCCCCAGTTGTCCTGTCCAATCCCATGGTGCGGTGTGAGTAGAGACAGGAGAGGATCTGAAAGTCAGCCACTAATTACAGAGTGGACTCCCGCTGTGAGATTGAGAGACTCATTTAAAAAACAAAAAAACTGTGTTAAGAGGAGGCTAACATCCCATTCTCAGTGTCATTACCCTACGACAACTGTTGAGCCCAGTTGAGAGATTGTGGACCTGAAGCATGTTGCTTTTTGTATCGTTTGATTTTTTACTGACCATTGAAAAAGCAAATAAGGCAGTAACAAAAACACCTTTTTCTCCCTTCGATTCATTCTCTCAGACTTTGTGTCAGATTGAGATTACAATTGTATTTTTTTGCAGCACAATAGATCGTCAATTGGTCAGTACCTTGAATACATTAGAGACCAAAATGCACCTATATATAAACAGTATAATCATCAGCTGTGTGTTTTTTCCCCCATGTGCCACTGAGAGGCCACAATCAATATGCCACCTTAACTGACTTTAGTTACCTTCACTTCTGGCTGAATTGGTACAAATTTGTACCTTAAACTATCAGAAACTCCATCATACCTTGTGGCATAATTGGTTTAACATCTGTGGATCATTACGAGCCTGTTACAGCGAACGTGAAAAGTTTCATGGCAAAAATGTGCAGCTCCTGTGCGTGTGCAGACGTCTGTCAGCTCTCTGTGTGACTTGCTGTCAGCATAATGGGGGCCACCGTATATCTTCCCCATGTTAAGTTAACAATCAGTATGCTATATAACGCGGCGTCGATGATGGCTTCCACTGATGTCTTGGCCCGCTGGCGATAGAGCTCCGTGGAACTGTTTGAATGTTACATTGCTGCCATTCTGCAGAGTGAGACCATTATAGACATTATGTACAGCACAGACACACACACACACACACACACACACCCACCCCCATGCACACACACACACACACACACACACACACACAGACACACACACACACACGCATTCAGCCAAGTCACAATCTCTCTCAGCTGCACCTGCACTCACATACAGAGAGAGAAAGAACAAGCTAAAAACACTGTTTGACATGCAAGAAGAGATTTCATAGTGCAGTCAGGGTCTACGTGTTGAGTTAGAACAAGGAGACAAAAAAATGTTATGTGCGGCAATACTCCCCTGGAGCTCTTTTCTGTGATGATGTATTTGGGTGAGAAAACAGGGAGAAGTGGGAAGGTTCTGATAAAGCAGTGCTCCAGTTTTTTTTTTTTTTTCATGTGCAATATGTGAATGCGCTTGCCTGTCTCTTGCAAGTATTTGGCAGAAAGGAGCTGTGTGCAAATTATGTGTGTGTGCATGTGCATGTGCATTGGAAATGTAAGTGGCATGAAAGCATGTAGTGTCTGTGTGTCTGTACATGTGTGTGTGTGTGTGTGTATCTGTACACAGTCTCCAACCCATTTGGACAAACAGAGCCTAGGGGCAGTTTTCAGCGACAGTGCTTCCATACGTGCCAGCGGTGTCCAGAAAAATAGCAGCCGCAATGAAGCTGGCTAATGTGGAAAAAAAAAATAATGCATGAATTTAATCAATGTACTGAGTAGATCCAACCAAATGGCCTTTTATATTTCAGAGTTAGAAAGAACACATCAACAAAATGTGCAAGGTCATGAAAGTACTAAACACCCTGTCAAAAATGGTGTTCCTCTGCAGTCCCCAATAAAGTTTAAGCTTTTTTTAATGTTAGTAGTCTTCCAGATTCATATATTGTCCAACTCACCAAGTTCATATCGATGTGATGTTTGTTTCATGGGTTAGATCTTTTTTTTAAATCACCACTAAAATCTTATTATTTTTTATTATGAGCATAGCTGCACACATTCAGCAGGGATTTACCAGGCTCAACAAAATGTGCTCACTGGCTCGAGGCCCCATATGCGTTTGTCCGTGTGGGGTTGTGAATGAGGCCAGGGGGGTACAAATGAGGCTGATGTGAGAAAATCATCCCCTCACATGAAACCCTTTTTGTGTGCATTTACGTGGGCTCATGATTGGACAAAGGTGGGCTACAATTGAGACCCATCCTCAGATCTGAGATAGGAGGCATTTTCAGACCAACACTATGTAGGCTAAAGATTGGGAGCCCATGTGAGTCCCTATTCACACTTGTTGTCCACAGATACCCCCCCCCCCACACACACACACACACACACACACACACACACACACACACACACACACACACACACACACACACAGACAACTTGTTTGGGCACTCATAACTTTTTTTCTTCTTCCGTCTTCTACCCAACACAATTGATTTTCTTCACATTAAATAAACCATAAACCTTTCTCATAAAGCAGGCCATTAGCTGTCTATTAGCGTGCTTCACTGTGCTTGTACAGCCAATTTACATATTAATGAGCTTGCTCTCACTCATACTTCCACATACAAACCAATAACAAACACACACTCACCTGCCCACACATTTTCAAAGAGAGACCATCCTCCAGTGTAGAAAAAAAAAATATCAGCTGCTGATTCATTTGTAGGAAGATGAGGGGGAGCCAGGCATTGTTAATCATGCTTAGGTGAGCCATATTGCTCTCTCCTATCCATTGCTAGTTCTCTTGACCTGAGTGGAAAACTGGTGCCAGATCATAAAGGGCCATCATATAGGCCTTTTATGGTCCAGTTAATGGAGACTGTGTTACTGGTATAGGTCTGCCATTTTCCTCTAAGAGGATTCTGCTCTCTCTTCATTCATTTACAACGTATTGGCTCTGGGCTGAGTTGCATTTTTTTTTATACTTTCGCTTCCTGGATGGTATTTTTTCTCAGTTTTTTATGGTTTTCCTTCCTGTATGAGAAATGTAGAGGGAGAACATCGGTGCCTTGACTGTGTGTTTCCCAGCAGTGTCTCGAGGTAGCATCCTATCCTCTATCTACCTCACCACCACTACTCTAATGACATGCAGGGTGTTTGGACAGAAATGGTCTGTTTTTTCTGGGGGTTTGGTGAACTTTGAGTTTCAAGAGGGCTGGCAGTTGAAGGAATCTACAGTCTGTTGCTATATAAATCATTCAAAACTACGTTTTGACAGATGGGAATATGGTTATATCACTGAGCACTGAGCATGTGGCATTCAAAATATCCCCGATGATGGATGAAAGTCTTTTTTTTTTTTGAATAAAGCAGGTTTTATGCTGCAGTTTTTTATGTTGTGATCCTAACATCTACTTTTTCTCTTCCTTCCCTCCTTCCTTCCTTATGTCCTACCTCCCTTCCTCCTTCCCTCCTTCCTCCCTGCTCACAGAGGATGAGCTGCAGCTACCTGCTCTGCACTATCCTGCTCTTCGTGGCCGTCTTGCTGGCTGTTACCGTCACCGGCACCATCCTTTTTATGAATCACTACCAGGCCCCGCCTATGTCCGACGGCCTTCCCCACATCTCTACCAATCAAGATGAAGCTAACGCCCTGGTCACCGTTGAGAGAGGAGATGGCTCTCGCATCAACATCTTCATTGACCCAAACTGTCCCGACTATAACAGTAACTTTTTGCGGCTGGAGGGTGTGCAGACTTCACTGCTCCACTCGCTAACCGACCACGACTCTGACCTGAAGTCAGTGAAAGGCCAGGATCGAGCTCTGCTTGTCAGTCTGGCCGAGGAGGTGGCCAAGCTGTCAGCTCATGCAGGGCAACTGAAAATGGACTATGAGTCCCTACGCAGGGGGCAAGGCAGCCTGGGGCAAGACCTTAACACACTGCAGACTGAGCAGGGACGTCTCATACAGGTGAGACACACACATAAGCAGCATTATTGTGTGTGGAAATAGATATTTTGTTTAGAAAACAACTGTAACAGGTTACTTTTCTGTTTGCTCCTTTCTTTTATTTATGGTTGAATTTAATTAGTCGGTGATTGGTTTAGCAGTAAAAACAGATGGACTGAATCCACTGTATAAGACTCACTCCTGAAGTCATGACTTTAAGTACTGTACAGAGGTGCTTGAGGATTGGATTGCGAGACATCTATCAATATGTATTGATTGCGAAACCACCTTAAGACATGTGACAGCTCATTGGACTTGAGAGTTTTCTCGTGGTTGGTGTTATTTAGTCCCTTCCTTTTTCCTGACTGCACAATCAAAACACCATCATTCACTCATCCAGCACCAACTCAACCATGTTAATTTCTTTTTACACTGTCTGCGCTCAGTAACAGCTAGATTAAAGTGCAAATAGTGCTTGTGTTCCACTGAGTATAACTTAACTCAGTCTAGTGTTTGAAGATGAGGTCACAGGGGAGGAAATGCCCATCATGATTCAAGACACAGACCAAGTTGCACATTAATTCAGTAAGATAGCATAATGTTTCCCTAGATGACTAAGACAGACTCTACATTGGATGAAAACATAATTAGACCCCCCTTTAGTTTCACACTGTCCACACTGATTTATTGACGATGTGTTTCCTAAATATGGGTGGAAAATCTTTACACTACATGCTCTTAATTTTGGCCCATCAGCCTCAGTCGCTCCATTCTGCAGTAAATAGATTTCATAGCTGCCAGCCATACAGCTCAAACAACTGAATGCCTTCCGCTCCTGCCAATCCTTTCTTTAAACCAGACCTTTTTAGCTCAGGGAACAACATTGTTTAGAAATCACTCAAAAACTCACTGGATCGGTGTGCTCTGCCTCCGTGGGCTAAGAAACCATGGGTGCTGATTGGAAGCACAATAGAAGCAGAGAGAGAGGCCAGTCCCTTTTACTGTTGTTAATGTGGTGTAGGTGGCATAGTGCAGTGGGCACTGAAGCTATGGGGAGGTGGTGCTGGCAGCCCAGAAACTCCAGGTGATTGATTTTCTCTTTTGAGGCAAAGCATGTGGTGTGCATATCCGCTGTTTCTGCCTGACACCGTGGTGTGACTGTGTGATCTATGGGCCACCTGTGGCCAGGACTTCTGATTTATACGATGACACAGAGCTCACTGTGCCAGTGTTAGTAATGGCTCTGTGTGCATCGTAGCCCCCTGAAGAACAGTTTCACCCCGCCACATAGACAGAAAGCCTTCCACATGACCCCGAGCTGGTGAGCAGGAGACTCTCATTGCTCTGAGTTTATGACCAATCTGTTTTGATTTTTCAAACAACATTTTCATTTCTTTTTTACAGCTTACAGCCTCAAATACAAAGATACACCAAAGCATGCCCATTTGTATTAAAATAAATCACGCTGATGAGAAAGACCAGTAAAATCTTGGAATACAACAATACATTTAGCCGATGGTTAAGTGTGAGAATGACAGACAAGGTAAGGCATGTCGCTAGTGTAAGTCTAAATCAAAAGTTTTCATTCCATGTCTGTCCTTTATTGCAAACCCAAAGTACAGCAAACCTGATATATAAAAATTCACCCCCATGTACAGTTCTCATGGGGATTGACTCACTTTTGGAGCCAGCCTCAAGTGGTCATTGTATGAATTGCAGTTTTCAGTACTTATTTGTTGGCTTCATTTTTAAGTGCCTTCATTAGTGCAGTCTTGGTACTTTGATGCTGTCGTGAGCCAGATTGAATATAGTCAGAAAAGCATTTAGATATAAAAAGAACTTGAGTTAAATATAATCAACTTCTTTCGGCACCTCTCCGTAGCCTTCACCTGTAGGTAATTAATAAAACAAAAAATCAGTAACTAACTGACACTGGCCTCAGTGACGTGCAGTTGTATGTAGTTGTATGTCCAGAGTGGAAAAGTGAGGTGTGTGCTGTTTACTTTGCTGACAGTAATAGAAAAGGTGTTTATGTATTTACAAAAAAAAGAGCATCAGTGCAGGATCACAGTTTATGTAAATCCAAGTGAAATTTTTAACACCAAATCCAAATTACCCAAATCTCAAAGCACTTCAGCATCCTCACATAACTGCAGTGCAAACCTTCACATCTTATGAAGTGTTCTCTTAAAGGCCTCTTCTGTGGCTCTTAGGTTGCTGTCTGCACTGATCTTTCTCACGATAACTAGTGCAAACTTTTGTCAGTGCTATGAATTACATTAACAGTTGTTAATATATATATATATATTTTTATTTTTATTCCAACCAGCACTGGCAGCCCTATGCAAAGGCAGTGTAGGCAACCATGTAATGCCCACTAGCTGGGGTGAACAGAGAGGTTGTGTACCTGCACTCATGCACTTCAGCATGAAAAAGAAATTGGAAGGGCTAGATCCTTCATAGGAGAACTGACATAATATGTTAAACTGATTTGACATTCAGTTCTGCAAAATGACTGCAAGAAGCTAAAGGCTTCGAGGAAGACATGACTTACTGATTTCCCTGAACCACGGGTCACAATTTAAACTGAATTATGTGTCTGTCGAATATGAATGTTTCGGACAGGCAACACCCACAACCTCTGCTAAGGATCTTGGAGCAAACCTTTGCTACTGCAGAATAGAAAATCATATTGCCTCAAGATGTTCATCCTGGTCAACACAAAGCCCTTTGAGGACTTGAGAGACGAATATTGACAGTGCTTGTTGCAGCCTGTTAGCCACGGATACAAGTAACTTCAAAACCTCAATAAGAGTGGATAAACGCATCACATAAAATATGGAAAACTAATTCAATTAAGCAAATGGGTGGCTTCAAACATTTAGCTCAACCATTCAAAGCAATAAAGAATATCAGTGTTTTGGGGGGATCAAAAACTCCATTAATTCAATACAGACCAATCCCAATGTAAATATAATGAATGCAGCAGTTTTGTAGCACAAAAATATTACAAAATAACCAAAACATGTTATCTTCTATTATAAAAAAAAACATAATCACAATAAGCCATTTGCCTACAACATGAGAAATATCCTTTTAAAACTTTTTATGATTAACTACAATATAAATCAGAAGAAATTAATGTTGCTTAATGTTTAATTCAATGATATAACGATATGGTATTAAAGAGACAAAACAAGATTTGCAGTACACACACATATATGTGTCAAAACTGTGACAGAAAACTGTGAGTCAGAAATGGAAAACAGCACATATTGATGCAGGTGTGAGGGACGCTTGCTCAAGTGAGACAATGACAACAAGTGTACAGAAACATTAAAGGTTAATTCAACCACTTTATGTCATGAATAATGATTTCATTTCACAGCTGGACTCTTTGCCCCCCACACCTACACTAAACTACACATGGACTAAATCAAAGGCCTGATCAAAGATCAGAGACTGTCTGACCGTATGATATGACACAGATTTGCTATGAAAACATTCCCTTTGTGTGAAGGTCCTGTCCATCATCAGGGTAATCTTTTATTCATTGTATCTTTGCTTCAGAGGTCTCACATATATCTAGGATTTCCGAGGCTGTTTAATCAGAGGGATGCAGTGAGGCAGAGGTTGACCTAACATTTGTATACTGCTTTCATACCATGCGTTAAGTCAACTATTTATTGATAGTTAATTTAAGAACAGCTTGATTGTAAACTCTAACAACCACATCTTTAAGAATATGAGGAAAACTAAGGATGTTCATTCAGAATACACAACCTTTTTGTCCTGTTAATGCAGAATGTTTTTTTTTCAGTTTTACTCTCTGGATTCAAAATGAGCATTTTTCTTGGAAAAAAGCCCCATTCAGGCGTAGCTTATTGGTTTCAGAGAAAGAACACACAGGGAAAACAATTAACCACCCAGAGGCTGTTGAGGAGGAGGTGGAGGAGATGAAGATGTGCATCTGCATCGCAGATGCCAAGAGATGAAAAAGATTGCAGGGTGCTCTAAAATGCAGGATCTGGATATGTGAGCAGAGAGGTAGCTGGGAGCTGCACGGCTGGCAAAGTGCAGCTTAATGGGGAAAGGATGGGGTTAACAGTCAATACATTCAGCCTGACTGGATCCTATGGACATCTGACTGTTGATATTAGCATCAGCTCCTGCATTCATTTTTCTAACCCAGCATCTGGTAGGATTTAAGTATGGGACCTGCCCTTATAGGGCTACAAGTAATGATTATTTTCATAAGCAAATGATTTACTAATTATTTTCTTGGATTAATCGTGTAGTCTGTTGTTAGTCTATTTGTTTCATTTGTCTGATCAATGGTCCAAAACCCAAAGCTTACGATGATAAAACCAGAGAAAGACAGTAAATCCTCACAACAGAGAAGCTGGAGCAAGAGGAATTTGTTTTAAAAAATCACTGAAAAAAATAAATCAATATGAAAATTAATTTTCTGTTGATTTACTAATCGATTATTCAATATTCAGATTGACAAACATGAAAATACAAACTATATTATTTAACATAAACATTCACAAAGCATCATTATGATGTATATTTACCAGTCCTCTCAAAGCAGTGAGTGGTAGACATCCAGTAAAGTACAGTAGCTTTCATATTTTCTCATTACATTTCAAACACATTTCTAAATGCAGTTGTTGTTTTCAACTAGTCAAGAAGAAAGAGACGGTGACTTGTGACTTCATGGCTCCTCTCACTTCTTCCATCTGCTCCTCCAGGCTCCAGTTGACTGGACAGCCTCTGCCTGTGAGGTGAAGATGTTGTTGTATTAGGCAGATGGTGACTGAATGACTTTTTTTTTTTTTCTTCTTCTTTTTTTTAACTTGCCAGTTCCAGCCTTGCAACTCCTCCCTGTTCTGTGACTTTACCCCACAGGGAGCTTGTCTTTGCCTTATGGAACATCTGATTCAGGCCAACAGAAAGCACACCTTGGTGTGTGTGCTGCCTCGGCAAAAACAATTCAGTCGTGTGTAATGCAGTCAAAACATCCGTGCATTTAAACTCCAGTAACAACCACAAAACTCGACTTTGAGTGCAGGTGCGCTGCATATTAGTGTGCGAGTCTTGTGGCCTCTTTTTAGAAACGTTAATTCAAGCCTTTTCAAAGTCTGACATGGATCTTTTACAAAAACACTAAATTTGCCTGGATTTTCAACCTTGACTCACAAAAGAAGGCCTCTTGTGTTAAGTGCTGTGGTGAAACTGATTTTGTGAGCCAATGCAAAGGCTGCCTAATGAGAGCTAATTACATCATGATCCTAATAGATGTGTCAGTCAAGGCTTAGCATTAAGACTGCAGACACTCCTCTGCTTTTGTCTCTCCCTTTTGACACACACACACACACAAACAAACATACAGTGTATACTTACCAGATAAATTACAACACTAGAAATTATGTTATATTCGCACATAAGAAAGTACACAAAAAACTCGTCTATTTAATGATATCAAAACCTTTTAAAATCTGTAAAAAAAGATTGCCTTACCCCTCCACAAGTGCACATAAAAGCTGTCTCCCTGAACAATGATACATTCACAAAGCAGAAAACCCAGTTTTCTTTGCTGTATCCTGCTTAGCTGCTGTGCACAATGGGTCATTTCTGTTGTGTATTTATGCGTGTGGTTTTCTTTGTACTTGCATGTGGGCATAAATGTGTCGTGTTGTTTGTGTCCGTGTGTGTGGGTTAAAGCTCCAGTGTCCATGTAATATGATTGCAGTGCAGCTTCCTGTGCCTCAGAGGTGTGTTGCATAGTTATTGAGGCCAGAGAAAGGCCACTGGAGCTTCTGTCTAATGCAAGGTTTAACACCTGAATATAGCTGCTCAGATATACCTTTGGTGAGAGACCCTGAACCCCTTATGCATGACTTTGAACACCGCCGGTCCTTCTGTGTGTTTGTGAGTGTGCATGTGTATGAGATTGAGTGGAGGAAGACGAGAGGAAGGAAGCGAGAGAGTTTGCCTTTTGTGAGAGCATGAGCAAGAGCAATATTTCTCATACATTCAAATGTACCGTGTGTGTGTGTAGCCTAGATATAGGACCCAACACCTGGCTGTGCATAGGCGTCGGCCAACTAGGGCAATATGTGAAAACGACCTTTCTGCAACGAACAGCACATAAAGGGCTGCAGGAAACAAAGTGACCACAGCAGATCAGAGAGGTTACCCTGCTCTCTGCTAGGCCGAGCACACACATTCATCACCAGCCTTCCCACAGGGCTCTTTGTGTTTCACAGCAATCGCCAGGGTGCATTATGGGGAACAGGTACCATGTGGTGTCTTTGCTACACAGGGCGGTCTCTGCACCTGTGTGTTTCTTAAGGTCCCATAAGGGCTATACTGTACCAGTGGTTATATGGCGCATGTTGTAGCTTATTAACTGTAAAATTAGTATAATATACATACAGTACATTATTATTGTGTTTTGAAGAATACCAAAACTTCTAACATAGAGTTCTACCTTCCAGGCAGCCTTTTCAATACACCAACGTTTTTTTTTCAATGTCACATTGTCACATGGTCATGCGCTTGACACTTTGAAAACTGTCCTTGCTGGTTTGTTCAAGGATGCTCTGACATCTGAGTTTGCTGCTGAAGAGCATTATGTCCACATGCTTTTAACAAGGCATCGAATCCAGGAGCAAAATGCTAAGGAAACAGATAAAGTGAATATGATCTTTTATCATTGTATTGTAAAATGTCTGATGGTAGAGCATCCCTCTCGAGATCTCCCGAGTCCCCTTCCTGCATTACTAATGAAAAAAAAAAAGATAAAATGTTTTGGATCGCTGATCTTAAAGTCATCGATCACTGTGGGCAGGAAACGCACTTTGAGCAGCTGCTCAGTCATAAATACAAAAGAGGAGGATGAGCAACTCATGTATTTCCCTAGTAGTTGAGCCATGATGAAAATTTGATGTCTTCTTAATGTCACTGTAGCTGCACTTGTACTCACACAAATATGTTTCCTTTTCAAAATAGCTCGGACCGGCTGTTCTGCTCATCAGAATTACAGAACTACTTGACAAATGTGGCTCCTTTGAATCAAACACCATTTGAATTCAGCAGAGGCACTGAGTCTGCCACTGACAATTTAATTTAATGGTTATAGCAGAATAAATGCTAACCATTACATGTTTCAAAATTGGGTTTGATATGGTGAAAATTTGAAGAACTTTAAGAAATCATGACTTTAAATGTCTAATTGGTCATTTTTATAAATGTATTGAAATAAATGGAAAGCACTGTCTGCCTGAAGGTTTTAAAGACCCTCTGTACACTTTGAGAAATGATCAGAGGTAATGGAAAAGTATGCACAGTTTGTAGTTATTCGAGTAAAAGACAACAAACAACACAGCGTAAATTGCACTGTTAATGTGTTTAACTGTGAATATGTTTTCCTCTGTGTTGCAGCTGCTGTCAGACAGCCAGATCAACATGGTGAAGGTAGTGAACTCAGTGAGTGATGCTCTTAATGCCATGCAGAAGGAGAATGTGGGCCTGAAGGCGCGTGTCAAGGCCGACTTGCAGAGGGCACCAGTCAGAGGGGCCCGTTTCAAGGGCTGCTCCAATGGTAAGAGAAATGAGGCGTGGCTTGATTGTGTGTCCCTGTCTGGACAGACTGTCCCTCTGTGTGTGTCGATAGAATTCATACATCAGTGGCTACCTATATGTTTGACCTTCTCCCACTGTATTCTGCTCGCGATCCCTCCCTCTGTCAGCACCACTCCACCATTCTGTAAAATTATATTCCAGTGTGGTCTGTCTGTTATACATCTTACCACATATTCATCCATCCCAGCCTCTCCTGCTGATATCACTATGCCTCCCTGGGCTACATCTCATCCACATTATCCCATGGCCTTGGTAGGGATGTGGAATTTTTTACTGTACATGAGAAATGACTTGCATGTCCATTGCGGCTGTGTTTCTGAGAGGCAGAAAAGGGCCTGAGGCATCATCCCATTGGAAGGCTTTTAACCAGGCACAGCATACCCAATGGCATTCCCCTGTTGGATTTGCCTTACATAGGTAGCCAAGGAGCACAGAGTGAGGGCCATTCATGTATAGCATACAGTATGCATAACAGAGTAAGAGAGATTCTGTTCACGTTTTTCCGTGAGAAGCACGACTTGAGAATGTGGTAGATGCTTCATACATCTGCAAACATTTGGGCATAGGCATGTACTAGGAATGTTGAATAAGAGCGGATGGATATTTTCAAGCTGTCAGACTCACTTTTACTCGAAGGGAGTGAAGTTCAATACATGACGTTCGAGGTTTTATTAATATCCTGCCTTACACACGGTTTAGGCCTGTGGCATCATCAGCCTAATTGATGCAATTGAGCAATTAGCTGGCACACCTGCTACCTATCAGCTGTTGTTTGCTAAAATTTCTACCCGCTCCTCCTGACAATGGTTTGAAAGTAAAACTGAAAGCTTGAGTATGCGTCTGTCTAGGAACTCTCTCGAGTAGCTCTTCTCTTCTGCTCTTCATCGGTTGTAAACATCTGCAGATTTCCAGGAGTGTGACATTATACACACATTCATTCATTCACTCATTAGCTATTCTGCTTATCCTTTTAGGGTAGCGGGGGGGCTGGAGCCAATCCCAGTTGACATTGGGGCGAGGGTGGAGTACACTTTGGACAGGTCCCCATTCTATCACTGTATAGAGAGAAACAACCACCACAAAAAGGCCCCAGCGGGCCAGCAGCTTTAAACCCACAACCTTCATGCTGTGAGACCACCACTGTGCTACCGTGTTACAAATTAAATTGGATTTTTAATCTATATCTAATCGGTATTGCATATCCACTACTGATATGTATATATGACATATCAGTACCTAAAATCAGATTGAGATCTGTAAAATGAGACCAATCAAGCCTTTACACCAAGAATTTAGAAGTCCTGCTACTGAGTGAAAACCATCATTTAAAAAGCCAGTTGAATTATACGAAAAAGTTTTTAAGTCATGAAAAGTTGACATTTTCACTGGACAGTGTGGTTAGACTGGTTGAAGCTCTGTCCATGGTGCTGAAGTGGTGGGTAAATCATATGTTTTGCAGCTTTATGCCTCATTCTACCTTTTCGGATTTTTTCCTGTCTTAACACAGTCACTTCAAACATAGCAGCATTCTGGGTGGCAATAAATTATAAATCAATCAATAGAGAAATTGTCCCTCAGATCTTAGCAGAATTGTTATCTCACAGTAGGTATCATAGCCCAATTGTGGAATAATTTCTTCGAGCTTTACTTTAATTTGTTATCTCCTGGCTATAAAGTAATGATAACAGCGACAGAGGCAGAAACAGAAACTTTTTGTTCCCCATTGTGAGGGAAATCATTAGTCAATTTATGAGCTGCATAGCATTTCCTGCCCCGTTTGCACAGTATGTGTTTGGGGAGAACACAATTACTACAACACCTCACAATATGATGCAATGAGATGTGAAGTAGCAATCCTGTTTAGAAAAAGCCTTAACAGAGAATAAACATTATAAGTCTCAGAAGGTAATATTTACTGCATGGCTAATGTCTTGCTTTGTATTAGACTGTATACAGTAGGGAAAATGTCCGGTTATGTGTGAGCTCCATGTATTTTTCAAACTGTATAACATGGTTAAGTCAGCATCCAGTACAAGGTTGTAATGATGATTGCATCAGCCCTGTTGGGCTGTTGGAGTGTTGCTCATAGGCTGCTCCTGTTCTCATTATTTCGTAGGGAAGCAGATGAAAACAGGTGTCCACTTCAGTCAGCTATCTGGAAGGGATTACAGCTCATTATTACTATTTTTCATACATGCGTAGAGCCTCCATTTGCAGCGGTTTTATGTAGGAAAGAGGTCCCATGTGTTAGTAAGTTTTACTCTGCTTTCATTAGCCATTGTACAAGGGGTATTCATGGACAGCACACTGGACTATTGGATACACTTCACGCTGATGACCTGAATTTACTATTCTTTGTGACATGGATGTGAGAGATGAATATATCCTTGTTTACTTCATGTATCTATATGTGAGCACTCTAGAGAATTTTCTATTTCTGTACTTTGCCTGCAAGGGAAGACAATACACAGGAAGAAGCATTTAATCTGAAACCAAATTCAAATTCACATTTGGTTTTATGGGCAATGCTTTCCATGGTGCTGAATCTGTCAGGCATTCAAAGCCTTTCCCTTGACTAATATTTTTTGAATTTTCTTAAAACAGCATCCATTTGTTCTTACACCTGGAATATCACACCTGACAGGTCATTATACTGTCCTGTGCTCTATACAGGCAAAGGGAGGAGGCAATAACCAAGCCAAGTCTCATGCAGCAATACTTATTATTTGCAATGACAGTCTCCCCTTTGTAGCTCAATTTGTAGCTTTTTCCTTTCTTATAGAGCCAAAAGTTGGTTAATTAAAATAAATCTTTAAGAAATTAGTTCCCAATTAGACTGCAGTAACTAATTTGCAATAACAATGGCGCTATCTTCAGGGTATATGTCTCTGTTATTTGATTTATAATTTATTATTCTTGTATGGTTCATGTAAATATTCACAGTATCCACAGAGTGCCTAACATTGACCTATTTAAAGCATAGATATCCTAAAGCTATGTAAATGTCAGGGGTAAAGCAGTACAATATTCAGACTAATTGAACAACCAGCACCGAGGTTCAGCACCATGGACAGAGCTCAGGATTCTTTCATACATGCTCTCTGTATGATTTAGCACGATAATACATTATATCAAAAAATGTAGTATGACATAAAAACCAATATGTTTAGGATTTGCTAAATACCATGTGTGCGTGTACGTGTACACTCTACAGTAAGTCCATCAAATCCTTCTTGGAAAGCAGCTGTGTGCAGGTTTCCACTCCTGTTGCTCCAGGAAAAACTACAACAAAAGCACCCAGGAACAATCATTCAGTGTTTTTGTGGATCGCAGCCTTGACATTTTATCAAAGAGATCTACACTGAACCAGAGAACCAGCTCGAGAAACTATAAAAACATCAGCTCAAATTACAAGTGATAAACAACATGCACATCTTCTCTACATGTGCATATTTATTTATCATACAATAAATCCATTTTTGTGGCATTGTAGGATTCTTGTGTGGGTTAGCACACTTTTGCCTAGTTGTGTATCTCTTACAGAAATCATGTTTCTTATTAGCATTTTAATGTATATGCTACACCAGAATAACAGAATAATTTGTAATTCTGTATCATTCTGACATATGGTCAGTCGACCAGGTACTGAATATCTAATATATTAACTGTTCACACTGCAGCACAAGTAAATAAAAACTCTATGCACATATACACAACAGTACATTTTCATTTTTTATGAGTATGTCTGTCAGCTGTTTGCATATGTATTTAAGTATGAGACACAACCATCAATATCTGTGACTTCCTGTCTGTCCCACTGAAACCATTGCAGGAATGCTACTTTTCATTTGGCTTTGCAAGCCAAAGTTCATATCTTTTGTAAGATGTAAACATGTAAGTATTGGTTTGACATTTGCTAGATTTCTTTATTATTGTTATTATTATTTTGTCGTATAAATTATTCAGTCTTCTGAGAAATGCGCTATAAATCAAAAGAAAGAAAGCCAAAGCATAAATACATTTTAGATGCGGGACATATTCATGGCTGGAAACTAACTGTGATGCTTGCCACTAAATGAGCAGTGTTAGCTGAGGATAGGGGGACAGGGTGCATTTAAATGAGTTCAGTTCCTACTGTGCACTGCCTGCGATGTCAGAATGTCTTACTTTGGAGGGTTTATGTGACTGATGATTGTGTCGCCGTACAGATGTGATTCAGGACAACAACTACTGTCTGCATATCCAAAGTCTGATATACTTTACCTTCTTACTCTGTGCCATAGACCTCTAGCTATCTCTGTATTAAAAATACATCAATAGGCCACACCATCACAATGGCTGACATGCTCCTTTATAATCACTGGCTTTCCTTTGAGTCAGTCCAACATCCTGCTGCTATAAATCCTCAATGGAGCACCAAATCTGTAGCTGAAAATAGCCCCCAACAAATGCATTGCGGTAGTCCATTTTGAGTAACAATTGCTGGAAACTACAGTGCCCACCTGTGTTAGGAAGAATTTCAGTGTTTTAATAAAAAAATATGTCAGCAGGGACCAGAGAGTTCAGAAAGTAATGAGAGACGGACCTATTGAATGTGTTTGTATTTTCATGGGATTTGTTGACAGTAAGAAAAATACAGAATATCACCAGCCTCTTTTTTCAACTGTTTTAGTATTTTAGGAAACTTTAGAGCATATGAAGTGCTAAGATTATTATTATCTATGGACAAACAAACAGGGGGGCTATTCAGTAAGAGAACTGTACCGTGTAGGAAAATGTAAAGGCTCAGTGGACTCAGAGACAGGCAGGCCCTGGTAAAACAAAGTTTACCGTGTCAGCAAATGGTGGGGTCGTCAAAAGGTGACAAACGGGAAAACAAAGCAAGAGTGGTAAGGGAGGCAAAGACCCAAGCAAACGAGGCATTTGCCCAATATCCCATCTGGCCAAATGTAAACCCAGCAAGTTCAAAAACGCCACTTAACTCCAGCTCCTCCTACAGGCTTAAGCAAGCAGTAAAAGGTAAACATAACAGCAGCAGCCCGCAAGTCTTTGATTGCAAAAGGTGATTTAAAAATGAATGATGCCTGCCGTAAATGCAAATGCACATTATCCAGATAATGTATCCAGGTGCAGGTCACATGTTAATACCAGGTGAAAAAACATGGTCCATGCAGGTAGAAACAGGCAGCAGGTAGATGGGATAATAAGGCAAAATGCACAACAATCTGGCAGGGAACTGAGGGAAAGTGGTTGGTGTAGTATATGAGAGCTAATTATAGGCTTGGGAACTGGTGCGCAGGTGAGTGTGGGAATCAGGTGATGGCTGAAGGCGGGAAACACTGACGATTCTGGAGAGCTGATACCTACTGCGGGGCATGAGGGAACAGGTGTCTCCGAAATGACGGGAAGAATTAGTGACTGGAAAACTGACAACAAAAATGATGAAAGTGATACGAAGAACTGGTTGCCGCCATGACCGGAAACCTTTTGTGACACATCATGTCCGTTAGATGACGAGGGTACACATTCAGCTCTGAACACTGCTCTGTGAAAAGAAACGGCGGAGGAATTACCAAATAATGGACAATCAAAATTCTTAATCTCTGTGCGAGTAAAGTCGTGAAGAAGACTAGCTGAAGTGGACCTGGAGTAACAGTACAATCCTAAGAGGTGGGGTAGAGGAATTTCTCTCCTGCAAGGGATCAGATCATTAAGCTGAAACTCTTTGAAATCCTTTGTTAGAGAGGACCAAATTCTTAAATAATGATGATATTGTCTTTTTTTAATGTCCCATGAAACCTAGACAGCTTCAGTTTCCTGTAATGAAAAGAAGAACTGGGAAATGCTAAGTCGGAGCTTATTAGTCAAGGCTTACACAGAGAAACGGAAAAGCTTCGGGGAGACCAAACATTCCACATCGTGTAGGGACTATTAAAAAAAAAAAAAAAAAAAATCTTGTATGGCCTTTTCAAGAGCTCTCCAGGCTGTTTTAAATTCAGGAGTTTGACCCGGTGAAGGGCTGGCATGCATAATCTATGACATTGTCCTCATCACAGAGTTCCTCTCCTGCTTCCTGGGGAATAGATTTTGTGTCCCTAGTGTAAGATGGGTTTCTCAGTCACAGACAAGGGTGCTACTGTTCTGCTCTGCTGTAGCGTACAAGCTCCCTGTCTCTGTCACTTCTTCTATGCACTAACTCTTCCTGAATTCTCTTTCGTGCCTGTCTGTTACATACTCTCCCCACTCTCCTCACCCTTTCTGTCTCTTCGTCTGTGTTGTATCACTCAAATGTATATATCTCCTCACTGAGCCAAATACTTCTGCGTCTCTGACTTCCATACGTCTTTTTCTTCCTGCCACTTGTGTTGCCGTGTCGTCGCCCCACCCTCGTGCTTTCCTCTCTTTATATTGACCCACTTGCATTCCATCTTTTTTCATGGTTTTATCCTCGCCGCACTTAGACTCTGTTGTCCCACTGTGTCATCTATCACCCGCCCATCCGTCTCATCATCTATCTCTTTTTTTTTTTTTTTGTCCTCCCTCTCAACACAGACATTCTCTACCTCCTCATTGCTCTTTCTATCCTTTTCAAGAGCCGTCATTTCAGAAAATGGTTCAGAAATACAGAGTAAGCGAAACCCTTTGAAGGTTTCATTTTGACAGGATGACTTCACAACCTACAACCATACACCTTCATGTTTACTGTACTTATGTGCATCTCTAGTGCCTGGCTCTAGGCAGAAGGCACAGTGTGACAAGTGTTATCTCATGTTTTCCCTCATCTTCTCTTTATTACCTGATTTTACTCTCCTGCTCCAAGCACCCTTAGCCTCTTAGCGAGCCATACCGGACCTCATTTATTTCACATCTCCTTACTTTCACCTCTCCCCAGGCTCACGTCCCCGTGACTGCGGTGATCTGTACGCCAGTGGTCAGAGAGAGGATGGCATCTACTCTGTGTTTCCTGTGCACCACCCCGCAGGCTTCCAGGTCTACTGTGACATGACCACAGATGGAGGAGGCTGGACAGTGAGTCAGAGGAAAAAACACACACACACACACACACACACACACACACACACACACACACACACACACACACACACACACACACACACACTTAAGCTGTGTATCTAACTAAAGTAGAAGTATCCACTCAGTCGCTACATTTTTACCAGGGTTATAATGAAGATGTAAATGAAAACCATGTCTGCTTTTACAAACCTGCTTTTATTTACTAAATATGCCCAAAATAAGAATGAATCACTCAGCATGAATCTTTCTTACTGTGCCATCAGTTCCATTCAAGTCAGAGACAGCCAGTAAATGGTTTTATACAGTTGGTTTTTGTTTGGTTTTTTTTTTGTTGTTGTTTTTTTTTTCTAGCACCATCAGTGATTACAGTTGTACTGCCTTAAGAGGCGATCTTAACAACAACTTTCAAGAGCACCTGTTTGAAATCAGTCCATTATTTTTCATGCTTTGCTTTTCATTTAGAAAGCAGAATACTAATTAGTCATTCTTGAAGTGGGAATGTCAACAGGTAGAGTGCTGAAAGGGAAAATGAATAATGCAGGGGAGCGAGACAAAAGAAAGCCAATAAAATCCCAACACTGAGAGACACAACAAAACTGAAATATATCCGATGAATCATGGTGACACTTTTTGTTTGGTAGGCTAAGTAAATGGAGCTGTAATAGCAGGGGTAGAGATGCAAAAGCTAGTTTAAGCTGTTACGGTGTGTCTTACCCTATACAAAGATGGGATATAAAGATACAGTATAGAAATGCACAGCCAGATCATAGAAATACAGCTTCCAGTTTTGGTTTTTTTTTTTGTGCAGTTTGTCATTGTGCTTCAAACTCACCAAATGGAACTGTTTCCATCATAGTTGACAGATTTCTGACCTGCTTATGTTTTGGTGTTATAAATCTTGCACTCTCATCTTTGTGTAATAATATTTTTTTGTGTTCTAAAAAGATAGAAACAGATAGATGGAACATGGAAAAAGATTTTTAAAGTTTCTTAAAGCGGGTGTTTTTTTTTTTTCCTTGATCAAACATCTGTCAGTTGTCTGGCCTTGCTAAAGTAAACATAGTTGTTTAAGTGAGGCTGTATACTGGAAGTGCTGCGTCTTTTGGGAGTGAGAGACAGCGAGGTGAACAAACATTGACACCGAGCTGTTTGAAGTTATATTTGGAAGTGTGGTTTAGATGTATTTTACTGCGTGTGCGCACACACACACAAACACACACACACACACACACACACACACACACACACACATCTGACTGGTTAGAGCCATTTATTTCTCTTTGTTCTGAAGTGTACTGTAGCAGTCCTCAGGGAAGGCAGAGTAGTTCTTAATAGAGAACTAAGGCCTTGTAACACTTAAAGAGTTAGAAATTTCAGCTCCATGAATCCATCACAAGTCTTTCTTTACAGGTTGTGGCACATTTTAGTGAAGCGTCCAGAGGCTGATTTTAGAAGCTGTCCAAACTATTCAAGGATTGATTTGCAAAGGTTGAACAATTAACTATTATGGAAATAATTTCTTTGTCTTTCATGTTATGCAAAGTGGTTCAGGCTCCATTAAAATGTTCCACATGCTTTGGGGGAACAAATAAATCTACTACGATAAGTTATAAATCAAGTCTGCTATCCTCTTTCAGTTTGCAGGTGTGATGCTGGCTTGTTGATGAGATTTTGATAGATATTTTAAAACCACCTCAGATGGACATTATAAAACTTCCTCCCTTGAATGTGTTAAAAATGTTAAAGAGGTGTGAAATTCTGGATAAGAATGATTTCTTAAACCTTTAAACAGATTTTCTAGCAATCTTCGGCAGGTGCACGCATGCAAATGTATTTGTATGTGATTTTTCCTGCACCGAACACTAGTGCTGCTATTAATACTTCTACAGTAGCTACATATATGATCAAGCATAATATTAATAGGAAGAAGAAGAATAGAAATGCCTAGAATGGTCTTACAATCTAATTTTTATGTCACTCTTCCACTACAGACACATACATGTCAAACTTCAGCCCAAGTCACTGTTACATTGGCATGACAGTGAATTGTGTGTATGTGTGTGCACTTGTAAATCGGTGACTAACTGTGTGAGATAGGCAAGGTCGTACCCTCCTATCATCAAATAAAGCGAGACTGTCAGAGTGACAGAGTGCTTACCGCAGCATGATGGAATAGAGCTACATACCAGCCTGTCAGTGCTGGGCAAATGCCTGTGTGTGTGTGTGTGTGTGTGTGTGTGTGTGTGTGTGTGTGTGTGTGTGTGTGTGTGTGTGCGCGTGCGTGCGTGCGCGCACGTGTGTGTGTGTGTGTGTCTCTGTCTATGCATGAATTAATGTTTGTGCAAAAGTGTTGTGTAGTTACCACAGAAATAGCTCAAGAGTGTGAGTTTTCCACACACACCCCCCACCACCACCACCACCACCACCCCTCCTTTTATCCGTACAGTGCAACAGTGTTAAGTAACCACCACTCTTTGCGTTTTGTCTTATAAAAGGAGTTACACCACAGCTCAGATTGAAGTGATAATGTAGCAGTTACTGATCCTGCCAGGTGTGTAGAGCTGATTGTGATAACGCTTGAGCCTCATTAAGAGATCATCGTGCTGCGATCCAACAGGGGCAGGTAGGGAGACGGGATGCTCAGCAAGTTGAGTGGCTTACTGTCTGTCTGATGGCTGAGCTTAAATAAGGAATGAGCCATATGCTGCCGCCTCATTAGCATACTTTGACATACCGTAGCACTGTTGCAGAGACTGCTGCAGACAGACTGAGGAGATGAGCAGGTTACTTAGAAGAGGGAGGGAACAGAGGAGAGAGCAGGACTCAGAGGAGACAAAGAAAAGAGAGCGCTTGATGAATCTGATGTGGAGAGAGAGAGAGAGGGAGAAATTGAGACATACAGACGAAGGAAACACAATAGGAGCAGCAATTTTATTTTTATCTTTTATACCATACTCTGCAACACTTTAATTCAGATATAGCCTCTGCGATAAAATCTCTCTGTTCTATTGTCTTTGCAGTAAAAAGCTAGCCCTTCGGGAGCCCGGGGGGATAATGCAGATTTCTTAAGTAATGGCGACAAGAAGAGATGTCGATCAGCAGCACTGTAGCATCAGTCGGTGAAGACCTTTAGGAGGATGTTTGTCCGTATGTCTCTTTATATGTCTACCAAGGCTTTGTGTTGCATGTTAATGTGTAAGGAAACATGCAGGGTTCATGGTTCATGGTCCTGACGCCCACCAAGGTTTGCAAAAGTTCTAAGGAAATTACAGAAAAAAAAAAAAATCCCATCAGCTATTGCAAAAGGATGATCAAAGAAGCCATTTTCCATAATTCTCTGCATGGTGCACAATCAAACAAAAACCCGAACCAACACAACCACCCACAGCAACCACAGTTTCTCACTTTGTAAATGAGAAATTAGCTTTAAAAAAAACAGACAATCTCTGTATAAAACTATAAAACCCAGATTCTCACCTGATCATCCATACCAAAAATTACTCAATGCTGCGTTTCTGCACAAATTAAAATGCTGCCTTATTATTAGTTTTTTGCTGAATGCTTTAAGTAGTAAGGTAGACCTGCTTCCCCCAGAGTTCAAAGAAAAGGAGATGATGTGTACCACACCTGTCAGGTTCTTTCAAAGAGCGAGAGAGAGAGAGGCAGAAAATGTATGGTTGGTGTAGCTTTGAGGTGTAGTAGAGAGGAGGATAAATCTATGTTAATGTGCATAGCCAGTGGTACTGGCAGTGGTAAAGCAGAATATGAAGTGTTTGCGTGAGTGCCGCTGACATCACTGAAATCATACGAACATAGGCAAGAACATCTTCTAGGGCATGACTCATAGATCATATATAAATGTAAGCCTATTTCTTTTTCATGTTAAGACGCCAGACAAAAGGAGGTTTCTAGCCAGCTGTCCGTGGTTATCTTCTGCAGCTGTAGCTACTGAGAAGACAGTGTAAGGTGTTTATTATACTATGTTGCAGACTTGTGCCAAAATCTTTTAAATTAATTTCCCCCCCCCTCATCAATCTACACTCAACACCCTGACTGAGCTATCAGACTGACATTGGTATTCAGACCCTTTACTCAGTACTTAGCTGAAGCACCTTTTTGGCAGCGATTACAGCCTCGAGTCTTCTTGGGTGTGACGCAACAAGCTTTCCACACCTGGATTTGGGGATTTTCTGTCATTCTTCTCTGCGGAGCCTGTCAAGCTCTGTCAGGTCAGATGGGGACCGTAGGTGGACAGCCGTTTTCAGGTCTCTCCAGAGAGCTCTGGCTGCATGGGCCACGCAAGGACATTCACAGAGTTGTTCCTGAGCCAATCCCCTGTGTGTTGGCTGTATGTCCTGTTGGAAAAGGCCCCTTTGGCCCAGTCCGAGGTCCTGAGTGCTCTGGGCCAGGTTTCCATGAAGATTTTCTCTGTACTTTACTTCTTTCAGCTTTCCCTCAACACTCACCAGTCTCCAACAGCATGATGCTGCCACCACAATGCTTCATTGTTGAGACAGTATTGGGCAGATGATGAACAACGCCTGGTTTCCTTTAGACATGACACTGAGAACTGAGACCAAACTGTTCAGTGTTGGTTTCATCAGACCAGAGAATCTTGTTCATGTGTCTTTCAGTGAGGAGAGGCTTCCATCTGGCCACTCTGTCATAAAGCCCAGATTGGTGGAGAGCTGCAGTGATGGTTGTCCTTCTGGAAGTTTCCCCCATCTCCACACGGGAATTCTGGGCTCAGCCAGAGTGATCATTGGGTTTTTGGTCACCTCTGTTACCAAGGCCCTTCTCCCCCGACTGTTGAGTTTGGCCAGGCGACCAGCTCTAGGAAGAGTCCTGGCTGTTCCAAACTTTTTCCATTTTAGAGTTATGGAGGCCGCTGTGCCCTTGGGAACCTCCAATGCAGCAGATTTTTTTATAGCCTTCCTCAGATCTGTGCCTCAACACAATCCTGTGCCTGAGCTCATCAGGCAGTTCCCTCCTCC